ATATAAATTTTTAAACTTGTTTAATGAGTTTTATATACTTGCAGCTTTTGCGCAGTAAATAAAACTTATTAATTTTCTTCTTTTTTCTGTTTTTTCTTTATTGGCCTATATATATATATGTATATGTTTGTTTAGGGGCTTCGCATAGACTTCAGGAACGGAGTGTACCACCCACCCAGACAACCGTTCTTCTGGGAGATCTGCAGCCAGGTACCACCTACCTGTTGAGGGTGGTCGCAGAGAACGACGTCGGAAGAGGAGAATCTTCAGAACCCTTCAAATTACGAACGGAGGAAGAAGGTCTTTCATATCCTTCTTTTATCAGAACTAATTAAAATTTATGCACGATCATGGTTAAAGACGTTGAGCAAAATGATATAAAATAACTTTTTATCTGATGAACAGATTTTGACAAACAATCTTGATTACCCAAAACCGCAAAATAATGGAATATACGTGAATTGTAATGTTAGTTTCAGAATGCTTTCTAGAAAGCGTGACATTTTCTCTAACTAAATGAATAGTTACTAGTAATTAACTAGAAAATAAATATGCTATTTAATGACGTATTCTTTAAGTTGAGAAGTTAAACAAAAAGGGTATTGTCTATGCGTTTGCATTCCCTTTTTTTCCACTTCACAGATTTAGATTTCACTGGTCTTCAAAATGTGGGACACAATTTGGAGGAAAGTCAGATTTCCTTAGTTTCGTCCGTAGAGGGATCTGCATTTCGATGTTTTTAGGGTTATTTTGTTAGGATTAACTAATAAAGATAATTCGGATTCTTATCGGATCAAAGATAAATCGGAAATCGTTGTGAAGAAATCTTCAGAAGAAGGCATTGGCCCACATTGGGTTGTCTGGCCAACTATGATGATGATGATGAGGGTTATTTTGACATTTTACGTTTTTGCTCGTATCTTGAAATATATTTAATTTCGAGAAATTTTTAAAAATACTTACACAAACTGAAATCTCAACAATTTCTTAAAAAACTATAACTTTAAGAAAAAACTTAAACTGGGTATAATAGTGTTTATTTCGTATTTATTTATTTAATTTACTCTACATTCATTGATTGATAAAGGTTATTTTGTAATCAGGTAGCTCTATCGCCGAGTATGTTTATTAATATTTTTCTATAGTTATGAAACAGCAACTCTGAGTGACCTTCTTAAAAATCGCTTTTTTTTTCCTTCTGATTTCAACCATCATCTTATCAAATTGATATAAAAAAGAAATGACGTTGTTTACCAGTAGTGAATGTATTTATAGATTGTTATTTTCAACTTATAAATCTTTGTGTTTTGGTAATTGAAAACAAATAAGTTATCATATATTCAGCAACAAAAAAAAAGTGTTGAAAATTTTAAATTTATAAATTGTATATATGTTACCTACATTTTAATGTGTTGTTTATCACGTACTGCACTTTCGATGAAACGAAACTGTTTGCTTGAAATGAAAATCACTAAACAATCGCAATCCTGTGTTTATTCTGCAGTTTTATAATTACTACATATGTACAGGGAGTGGACAAAATAATGAAAACACTTCTATACTAATATATTTTTTCGTATTTCTGTAGAAATACTTAAAGAATCATTTCGTAACTTCAGAGGTGTTTAGATCATGCGATTTCTCATACTTATAAATGAAGTTTTAAGCTTTTAGAGGTTTGAGGGACCGACAGTAAATAAAAAACGGAAAATAGTCTTTTTGAGCACTCTGTGTCAAAAAAATGTAGCAATAAATTTGCAACGTGTATCAATTAGTTTGTTTATTATATGCAATAATTGCACAAAATTTCGGGCATCACGATTAAGGGGATATTTGATAACGATGATAAGGGGTTTTACACAAATTTCATATTGTACAATTAAGTAAGATTTATTAAAAATGACACCGGCATTGGTGTATAAACGTTTATTGTAAGGTATTACTATTTGTTATTTAATTTTGTCTTATGATACAAAATAATGTTTTTAGATAACCCCTTATCATTTTGAGTTTCTCTTAAAAAGTACAAAAACTACTTAGAAAATTGCTTGAAAATAAATTAAAAATTGCTTTGAAAATGTTCAAATCGACCTTTTCTTTTAATTGCCAAGTAAGGTTTTCTATAAAATTAAGGAAAATAATTTTCAACTTTTTCCCGCGCATGAGCAGTATAAGCAATACAATCAAAATCTATAGTGATATCAGATTACCGACAAAAAATTTCTTAGAATTGCATTTGTTCTTAATACCTTATCACAAATATTTCCTATATTGTGATGATGCACTATTTGAATATATATCTTTTAGTATAACAATTATTATTACTCAATGGGTATATTTTATTGCAGCCCCTTCGGCACCCCCAACTGACGTCACAGTTATTGCAACCGGACCGACCAGCGTCTCAGTGACGTGGAAGGTGAGATTATATGTTGTATTGAACACGTGATTGAATTGCAATCATTTTTACTTTCTTTCAATTATTGTCTCATACATCCCATATAATAACGATTTTAATATTTTGTTATTTATTAATTTCAATTATAATTTTCATTAATCAAGAATAAGAGGGAAATTAAAAAATGACTTTGTGTTCACACTATTAATGGAGGTTAACCCTTTCAACCCGAATGGGACATATACGTCTCAAAGATTAAACTTTATTCCTTCACAAATAAACAGATCCCAATTTTTGCAGAACAAATACTTTGATGCACTTATATTATTTCCATTATTTATTCCCACGCAATGTATAGGTATTTTTACAATATTCAAGATGATTGGGACATATTGTCCGAGGAGATTTCCAGGAAAACTTTATACTATACTTATTTTAATATGTCAGCATTAACATTAGCTGCTTTTCATACTTAAATTTTAATGCAGCAAAAGTCGAAAGGGTTAAGTATTTCCATTGTTAAAATTGAGCATTTTATATTAACTTATCAGATTCTATGTTTTAGGAATATTTATTAGTTTTCATTTGTTTATTTATTTATAATTATTTGTGTTTTTTTAATTATTTACTATTGCTTTTGATTTGTGTGTATTTCATAGATTTTTATTTGTGTGACTTTTTATACATTTCTTTTATATCTATAAAACATTTATATGATTTAGCTCATAAATAGCAAAACTAATTAAAAAATATCAATAAAATTTATAAAATGAGGTTTAATTTAATAATTCTTCCAGGCATATTTAGTCACATCCTGAAACTTTTTTGATTACTTACTTTCGACTACAACTAATCGATTACTTCTCTTATTAATTGCTATGAAATGAATTTTATTTGCAAATCTCTTAGCAATGTAAAACTTTAATTTTTGATACTTTTATTGCATTTTAATTTGTTATATTTCAAGACAACTATTTCAAAGTTCTAAAAATAAATTTTCTAAATATTAGGAAAAAAAATTCTTCTAATAATAAATTTTCTTTTCAAATGAAGGGTTCTTTATCTCACTCGTTCTACATGATTCACAATGCATTGCTTCCAATTTCTAATCGATCTTTTTTGTGCCAATTCCATTTGATTTTACTTAAAAAATACCTTTAAAAAATAAGTAATATATACTCTCAGTTATAAAAGACGAAACTTTATGCTTTTGAATTACCTTCAGAAAAAAATGCATCGTTAATCCTATAAATTAATTTTGACTAAAAGATGAGAGAGTAAGATATCATTTATTCAAAAATGGCGAAGTCCAAAAAAAAAGTTGTCCTCCAAAAGAGGGTTGGGCAGAGAAAAAGTGATCATTTGCAGTAATAATTGATTGACAAAGAACAAGACAAAATAACACTCTTAACATATTTAAATAGATTAAAAAATATTATTTTGAAAATATTATTATAAAATATTATAAATGGCATGTTTGAGGAAGAATTGTATTAAGTCTAAGATCTATATTAATAAATAATAAGACTATGATGATTATATAACTTATAAAACAAAATAGATCAAAACGTATAAATATATCTGTCCAAAATATCCATATATATATATGCAAAATCTCAGTAGCTTACAGAAACTTAGTTACACCCCCCTGCAAGAATTATAAATGTGCTCTATCTTAGACTTTAGACAAAATTATAAAAAGAGATAAGAACACTGTGAAGAAACATTTGGGAACTTATAATCATTCATTTTATTTTAATTTAACGATTTTAATTTAAATTATTTTAATATGAATTAATAATCGCGATGAAAAGGCGGAATTTAGAAAAAATTACCAAATTCTAACACCATGTTTACTTACAGAGTAACAGCATTGAAATGAAATTTATCTTAATAATTCCAGGAAATAACTCACTAATTAAGGGTTATTTTTATTTATAAAGAGAATTATTGCATAAAAGATTATAATAGTTTTTTTAATATGTTCAGGTGCTACTGCGGGCCGCAGGTTGTGCACCCCTATTAGTGTTTTGTTTTTTTAATCGTGCGCCCTCTCTCGCGGGGGTGTCATTTAGGCCACTGCAAAATCTGCTTAAAAATTAAACTCCTGAAATATTTTACATTTCCTTCGAATGAACTAAATGATTTTTCTTCGTTACGTCATCACTTCATTTCGTATACTAATGAATGTGAATTGCGATCTTGTCATTTTAAAACGCTTCCTCGTAAAACTGTTGTTGCGTCATTCAAAATAATTATTCAATCTTCTTGAAAAAGCATTTAAAATGTAAGTTTTCTAACGGTACATAAAAAGATACCGAAAAGGAATATTGCTAAAATTTAAATATTTATTATCTAAAGTATACGACTCATTCTGTGTTTTGATATTCATATTTTAACTGTACCTAATTAAAAACCAGTTCTCTAAATAAAAACAAATAAATAAATATGCAGCACTTGCGGCTGTTGTCTGGATCACCTGCGAGAACTACTTTTCCTCGCAGCAGCACTTGCTCTCTTCAAGATAGAAAGAAAGAACAGCTGGTTTTTCCCTCTTCACGTGTTCTATTGATTTTTTTCCTCCTTACTCACGCTCAATTCGGGTTACCACACTCTTCTCCATTCACATCTGCTGCTGCATCCATCGTCGGCTGCATTCTCCGAATTCATCGCCAATATTGCCAAACACGCTAAGCCTAATCACTACCGATTTAATAAATAACATCCGCCCTTTACTTGAATGTGGCGTGAAAGAAATTTGTGCTTCTTCCTCTAACTGTTATGGAAATGAAAAAAGAAATTTTTGTGTATTTATACACATTCATTAAACGCGTCTATTTTTATTTTAATGTTCTTGTGTTTATGAGTAGATAAATTCATTTTCTTTGCTCATGTGTTGTAAGAAATACGATTAATTTATGAAACGAATGCAAAATTGAAAGACTTTTACAATGACTATTATTTATTTTATTTACCGTATACCTCGGTATGTAAGTCGATTCCTTATTTTCGATTATGAGGTAGCAAATTTCTGACATGTCGGATGTGACAGCTGAAAAAAACAAATATAAAACTTTCTAAAATATAAGAATAAATAAATAAAAACATAAATGAGAATTAATAAGTCTACAAAATTTTCTCCACTTAAAAATGTTTCACGTTATTTTTTTTTCTGGATATTTCCCTTAAAATAAAGATTTAATAACGTTACTGAGTCCGTCACAGACGATGTTCTTTAAATTTGTAATTTTATGGTATGTTTTAAACTGTCATATTTTATGAAATATTCTCGAATCTTAAATTTTTCTCATTCTTAATTCTTTTCTTAACATAATTTAAAATATCGTTTCTAAAAAAAAGCTTTATATGTGAGGAAAATGTGATGAGACAAAATGTAAAATTAATTGATTGTGATAAGAGAAGATGCAAAATTAATTGATTGGGGATGAGAAAAAAATGCAAAATTAATTGATTGTGATGAGAGAAGATACAAAATTAATTGATTCTGATGAGAAAAAAATGCAAAATTAATCGATTGTGTTGAGAGAAAATGCAAAATGTACATATTAGAAATAGTTTTTGAAAGGGATAAATTTATACAGAATTATTTACATCTATGTTATTGCTTGTAATGCACGATCGATATTTCACGATCAACGAATGTCCGACTTTATCGCTGGTGTAGAAGTAAAGTCTTATACACCGATGTATACGCTACTAGTTTTATTTTTTATAATTATTTATAACGAAATGTTGCAAACAAGCAAAAAATTATGTTATTATGGATTATAAAAGATTTTATTTTATAACCGTCGTTAAGCAGCCGACCATTTTTTTTCCTTCCTTTTTTTCCCCTTTTTCCTTATGATTACTCATGTGCAACTCCTCAGTCTTGTAATTATTAACTCAATCCAGAAGACAAGGGAACTCCTGGATCAAGTATTGGGAAAAATGTTTGGAAAGACTTTTTGATGGAACTAACTCGCATTTGCGTTACATAGACAGGAAAACCGCGAACACCTCCCTAGGTTTGGCAGACAGCTAGGGGACTCGAACCCATGATCCGTCTACCACTGAGGATATTTTACGTCAGCACTGTGGTCGGTGCAAGCCAGATGCGCAATTCGTATCGATCAGTCATCGCTGGGATTTTAACCCGGTTAACCTCATATAAAGGTTATTAAAGATTAACAACTATTGATATTAAAATACTGTGTAATTAATATTCTACATATATTCTTTATTAAAAATAATTCTTCTAAAATGGCGTGACGCCAGAATTTTGACTCTCACTGTGTGCAAAGGGAAAAAAATCTTTATATTTCGTTTGCCACCTCTAAAAACTTAGACTTGAGGATGAAAAAAATGCCATTAATGATAATGACGATAGCAATTAATGTCGATTGTTAAACTGAAATGATGTTAATGATGACAACAATACTTAAAACTATGTTATTGACGATAATGAAACGCAAATGATTACACTGGATAAGCAATTTACTTTTTTTCTCAATTAACTTTTATTTTATGCAACATCTCTTATGATGCCGATTATGAACATGCTTACATTTAAGTTCGAATTCGAAGAAACACTATCGCAAAAAATTTACATAATAGTTTATTGCTTTTTTTTTCGACTCGATGTTTTATCGTTCACACTACCACTGTTTTACACTTTTTAAAGCACAATTAAGTTTTTAAGATAGTATGTCGTTACCATAGTATAAATATAATTATGCCTCACAATTTTTTTACGAATAGTCATTAAAAAAGTTTGAAAGTATCAATTGGGTATAATAGTAAAAAAACACAACTACTTCCACTTAGTAGGAATAACATTTACCATGACGCAATGCTAAATTCTATGCCACTATCCACATAAATCAATTATTAATCAAAAATCGAATATCAATTACTCTTCTTTATAATGCAATAAAATCTGGCGAGCAGCTATTTAAACGATCAAACACTTCGTTTGTTTATTTGTGGCTTGAAGTTAGGCTCGCAGAAAATGTCGTTCATGGGTTAAATTTAGTAGGAATAACACAACCTGTGACGTAGGCTATATTATACCCAATTACGATCTTTAAAAAATCTATGCCCCCCCCCCGTTTGGGCTCCAGTGTTCAGGACCCTAGCAAAAGCAGGATCAAGGATTAAAAAAAAAAAAGAAGGAAAAAAAAACTTCATAACCGTAACTTTTTTAATAAGGAGAGAAACAAATAACGTGACACAAGAAAACGTGCAATAGCGGTGGAATATTTGTGAGTAATATGATTTAGTTCACTTCATTTTTAAAAGTCATCTAAGGATAGTATTATCAAGCGTAATGTTTATAATTTAGCAATGATCACTAATGTGTTTTTGTCTCTCTGAAATTTACCTAAGCCACTAATATTTACGGTCCAATTTAATTTTTTACTGAAACTTAAAAAAAAATTAATAAAATAATTATGCTTTTTGTTTTCTTTTAAGAAGTCTTTTAACTTGTCTTTAATATGAGATAGCTTATTTACCTCACAGATAAAAAAAAAAATAATGAAGCTGTGGAAAATTTAAAATAAATAAATCGTTTTTTATTTAAATATATCAANAAAAAAAAAAAAAAAAAAAAAAAAAAAAAAAAAAAAAAAAAAAAAAAAAAAAAAACATTTTAATGCATCTCCTAACATTGTTTATAATTTTTTTTTTCTGTCGCGAAACACCGTTTTTGCTACCAGTGTGTTCCGACTTGCGAACGAACCACCACCAGGTACCATAATCAAATCTTAAGAGTCTTCCTTCGATAATGCTCGATTTTATGTTGAATTTATCAAATTCACTTTCTCCGGATTATTAGCTCTTAATAAACTTCTTAAATGAAGTATCTTTCGAAAAAAAGAAAAAAAAACGATGGAAAATTCGTTTAAAATAACCGCACTAACATAGCACTTTGCTTTATTAGATATGACACGTAATAATTTTTGAAGCCTTTTTTCTTTTGTCTAAAAACATTTAGCAATCAAATTATGAAACACTAGCACTGTTTTTCGAGTTGAAAAGGTTTCATTAGTTACAGAGTGCCTTTACACTTCGGTAGATTGTAGAAGATGGGAAAACGTGACATCAATAAAGCTGAAAGGTCATCGATATAAGTTTCGGTTGTTTTATGGAAAATTTTGACGTATCAAGCCCTTTCTATTTGTTCTCATGGTATTTCAATACTGCCCTTATATAGGGCCAATATTAAAGAATCTATACATCCCAATATTGCAACTGTATAGGACCAATGTTAAAGAATCTATACATCCCAATATTGGTTCCTTGGTGCATGTTCATTGGGCCAACTTTGAGCCCTACTAGGGTCAAGGTAAAATTGTTGGTATTGATTTATTGTGATTTAATATATATGTATATATTCCGATAGGCCCCTCCGCGGGAACATTGGAACGGCCGGTTGTTGGGTTATTACGTGGGCCACAAGCGTCACCAATCTATGGAACCGTTTGCCTATCACACAGTGCCGGCTGGAAGGTCCACCCACGCTGACTACAGGCTGACCAGACTTCAAAAAGCCACCCGATACTCGGTGGTTGTGAAAGCTTTCAATTCTGTGGGATCAGGTCCTGAATCTCACGAACTGCTTGTCGAGACATCTGACAAAGGTAAAGAATCATATCTTCTCCCATCTAAACTGTTTTTCTGAGTTAAAATGTGAACACTTGAATAAAATTGTGAGCCAAGAGGGCTCAGTGGTCAAGAGGTATAGTTCGTTCACCAGGAGTCTGCACTTGGATCCACCTCCTCGGACGCAGAATTCCAGCGCGGAAGCAGGAAAAGGAACATCATCGACGTCTTTTTCAGACACTTACTTCGCTTTATCATCTGCTATTATACCTTTCGTTTCTCTAGCTAATTAAATATATTTTAAATTTAAAAACTGCTGTTTTCCCAGCAAAATGTCTCAAAAAGGACAAACTATTCTCTCAAAAGAGAGAAATATCATAAGAAATGGAGCTAAATATCATTAAATTAATGAACTATTTTATGCTTAAAAATGCAGATAAAGTTTCGAATCGCATTTATTCTGCGAAAAATATTTTGTCTGCGTCAAATATGTCGATAAAATCAGTCTTTCTCCAGTGTTTGTGAAAGAAATTAAAAATTCAAATTAACTTTTTGACTTTTTAGACTTTAGTCATACTTTAGATTAACAACTATAATTGCTGAAATCGGGGATTGTTTTGAAGCAACGAAGTTTGCATTTCTAATAGTTTCTATTACATTTTGGAAAGAAGATTAATTTGTCACAGGTATGGTACAGGAAACTATTAATGCCTGTAGCATCAGGTCACTGACTTGCATTTTAATAATTTTCACCCTTTTCACTTTTATAGTTCGGTGTTTTCTTTCATTTTTGCTCCTATGTTATAAATCTACTTCGCTGCTTGGCGACTAGCAGGTGTGGCGTAGATTTATAACATAGCAAAAATGAAAGAAAACGCCGACTAAAACAGGGAAAAGGAAAGAATAAAATTTACTAAAATGCAAGTCAGTGACTCGATGTCACAGCCTACATGAGTTTTGTTTTGTATTTCAAGTTTCTTTTATTTAATAATGGTATATGAGACATGGTAATTCTTTTCAAAATCGGCTTAACTGGTGATCATATACTACGGTATTTTATATGAAGAGAGCTTTATGACTCCAACGGCATTGATTAGCATGAACGTGATATCATTTTAGTACTCTCGTATTAGTTAGTACGTATACGCTATCTATAGTGCGTACACTATCGAAGCCCGTGCCTCTTTAGCCAATCCCATCCTTTTACATGTTTTACATAGCCAATCCCATCCTTTTACATTGCATAATGTGTTTCAAGGAATGCGTGGGGAGAGTAGTTATCGCCCATGCCAATTTTCATCAATCAAAAGGTACCTTAAGATTGAATCGAATTAGCATGTCTTATATGCTAGTAAATTAGTGTTTAATAATTTTAGTGGTAGTTACGCCACAATACTCCCTCACCAGAATTTTATCAGAGATAGAATTCGATGAACAGATATCACTAGTTGCCGTATTTGCGAAAGACCGGGAAAGCTATATTAAATTAACCGAATTTTGAGAGCTTGTGGTGAGAGCTGTATTGAGTTCACTGAGTTTTGAGCGTTTGTCGTCAGAGCTGTATTATGTTCACAGTTGTGTGTGTAGTTCCTTCCTGTGTTGCTATTAGCAGCCGAGTGTGTGCGGGATCCCGTTTTGTGTAAATGAGACTGAGAAGCAACAGAGCTAGGAAGATGACGCAGTTACAAAGTCAACTTTTCAATGTGTACTGTCAACTTTTCAATGTGTACCAAAGTAGCACGTCAGCAGGTCACCAATGTGGGAAAAGGATCTTTCGACAATGTTAACCTTCATCTATCGAAAGGTACCTCAAGATTGAATCGAGTTTGCATGTCTTATATACTAATGAATTGATGTTTGATAATCGTAGTGGTAGTTAAGCCGCAATACACCCCAACCAGAAGGTTTAATCAGGAATGGAACTCGATAAACGGATACCACTAGTTGCCGTATTTGTGAAAGACGGGGCCAACTGTATTAAGTTCACCGGACTTTAAGCACTTGTGGGGAGAGCTGCATTAAGTTCACCGAGTTTTAAACGTCTCTCGTGAGAGCTGGCTGTATTAAATTCACGGTTTTGTGTTGTTTCTTCTGTGCTGCTATTAGCAGTCGAGTGTGTACAGAATCCCGTTCTGTGTAAATGAGACTGAGAAGCAACAGCACGAGGACGATGACACAGTAACAAATAGCAAGTTAACTTCTCAATGTGTGCCATCCATCGAAGTAGGCGTGTTCATAGCACGTCCGTAGGTTACCAATATGGAAGAGTAGAAATCGACAATGCCAACCTTCATCTATCAAAAAGTACCCCAAGATTGAGTAGAGTTACCATGTCTTATATACTAGTGATTAGATGTTAAGTAATTGTAGTGGTAGTTAGGCCACAAATATATGATATTATTTGTATATACAGACAGCCTGAAACCCCCTCACCTGTACGTGTCTGAAACAAGTGACACCGCTGCTCTATTAGAATGGGAACATCCCAGAGACCTGCCAGAAAATGTTTTCACACGTAAGTTTTACTTTTTTTTTCTTTCGTTTTTTTGCACACTTTTACAGCAATTTACTCTTTTATAAGTAATCTAAGAAAAAAAAGAGAGAGTTCAGGTAAAGCTTTAATTACTGAAATGCATTGTGATAATTTGCTTAGTAACTGGTACTGCATTGTGATAGTAACTGAAGTAAGATGCATTTTCGAAGCTCTGAGAAAATACAAAAAAAGCAGCAGTTCAAGTGCCTTACACTAAAAAGCTACAACTGTATATGTTGCCGTGAATAACCAAAATCAAGAGAATGTCGACTTTCACTGGTGAATGTCAACAATCACATTGTCCCTGTGGTGAATGTCCGAAATATTTGTTATATCCGATTTGATATTAATTTATTCGTTGATATTATCCTTCAAATTCGATGTTTTAATATCACTGAGAATAGATTAGGAGAAACATCAGTTTTCGGAATACCTGTTAAATGCATACCGGGCAGTGGCATTTGACCTTAAAAAAGCAATGTCGGGCATACCGGGCAAAAATATGTCGGGCAGTGGCACTTAACTAGACCTAGTATATATTTCGGACATTTACCAAAGTGACTGTTTGATTGTCAACATTCACCGGTGGAAGTCAACAACCAATCATTTCTGTCATGAAGAACACGTGACACGTGACCCACATGCCGTGAGGAATTATCTGGACTTTAGAACGGACTAATAACTTAGATATTTTAAAAAAATTTATTAAACTTTACGTCATTTTTCCATGAAAAATTTTGAAAATCAGTTTTTGCAAATTTTTATGAGCCCAGTTAATGTAGCTGTGGAATAAGTCTTAAAATGTTAAAAAATTAGACCTCGAATGATTTTCATTTTTACTAAAATGTGGATATTGACGTTTTGCGCTATTTTTTCTGTTCTTATTTATTTCAAAATAAGCATAAAGAGCTCTGGTTACAGATAAGCTATACTTGACCTATCAGTCATAAGTCAACTGTTGCTTTACTCACAGCAGTTATGAAAATAGCATGTTATTAGGGAAAAAAAAGCTTCATAAAAACATTTCAAGAAAAATAAATTCATAAAAATACCGACAATAGCATTTTCCGTGAATTCATTGCAAGAATTCCCTCCCTAAATAAACACAAACTTGTTTACCTCCTTCTAATGAATCAGGTCGTTATAGAGTATTCAACAATTCACTCTAGAGAGGAGTTACATCTCAGTAACGTAATTTATAAGAGTTTGTTTTTCCCATTTTCCTCATTTTTTGAACATATCAATTGTTCGTCTTTTCGATTTTCGCTGAGAAACCACACTGAGAAAAAAAAAAGTATGGTCACAACTACTAGAATATGGTAAAATTTACCGTGTTCCTGGTAATAGCGCTCCTATAAAATACGCCTTATTTTACTTTAATTAAAAGTCATATTTTAACGTACACTGACTAAAACATTTGTAACCTACACGCCATCTTCTTTAACCTCCGTTTAACGAAATTCGCTCTATAGTGAATTTAAAAGGAAAAGATTACGGAGGGGACATAATGCACCCATTAAATATTTATTAATGACTTGTTTTCCAGTGGCGCCATCTATGGCCTAGAATTCGACTTCTGCCACATACATACGTCACAGCCCGTTTTACTGGGAAGACACATTCACACACCATCCATCGCAATTTTGAGCTGACAAGGGTACGATTTATCTCCGATCCAGTACCCCTAGAGGTGTTGATTTGTTATGGGAACTTAGAAGACTTTGTGAACTCAACAGATTTAGCGTACACCAATCACCATTTTGTACACGGGGAGTCTTCTGTCTGCGGGGCTCGAACTCACGTCTTCTTAGACATAGGCCCAACACCCTACATTCCAGGCAATGAGACTTAAGAAATTGTTTCCTTTTATTGCTGATGATAGTATTCTTTCATGCATGTTGGTCATGGAAAATTATTCTGGACTCCACTTCAACTCTCATAGAACAACTTTAAGAGCTTCTGAACTCTTCATATTATAATAGCTTTAATTCAAACACTAACAGTTTTATTCTATTTCCACAACGTAGAAAGCCCTACGTCACAAGATCAAGTTTTGCATTAAATAAAGAAAACAGATTTCAGTAATGGTCATAGAGCCAACATAAATTTCAATATCACTGTCTACATTTCTAATTTTGAATATATATATACTCAGATCCCCTTTCCTGAGCTATATCCCTCTTGACGCTTTAATGTTAATTTTACACTTTACTTTTTGCACTTTTGATTCACATTTTACACTTAACCTTTCATGAGTGAAGTGCTTCATTTATTTCTTATTGAGCCTAAAGGTATGTTTGCTAACTGCAATAAGTTTAAAAAGTTCCGGCCTGTTTAGGAAATGCAAAAGACCTTTTTAATGAATCTGGTGCAATTCAAAATGACGGCTCTTAACATAGTCGGATTGTATATTGTGTTTTTAGAGAGTCGTTGTGGCTCAGAGCGCTCGCCATCCAATGAGGTGCACCGGGTTCGAATCTCAGCGATGGCTGGTCGATACGATTTCCGCATCCGGCTATTACCGACCTAATTGCTGACGTAAAATATCCTCAGTGGTTGACGGATCATGGGTTAGTTAGTTAGTAATCGTGGTTTTCCTCTCCATGTAACGCAAATGCGGGTTAGTTTTATCAAAACGAAGATAAATTTCTTCCAATACTTGATCCTGGACTTCCCTTATCATCTGGATCGGGTTCAAAATTTCAAGGCTACGGAGTTGAACATCGGTGTTTGTAAACTCTAAAGATTGGTTCGGTTGTTTAACACAACCGAATGAATAAAAAAAAAATACAAAATGTGTTTTCAGAATGTGTTTCCTTTTTTATCGAATGAATTTAAGACATTGTGATTTTTTTTTCTTCTCAACCATAGATTATATGGTCTACTATAGACCTGGATCAGAAGGCAACTGGCACAGTGTGCACGTTCCTTCGAAAGATAAGAAGTTCAAGCTGACCTCTTTGGAGAGCGGCACCAAATACCAGGTCTATCTGACCGCTTACAGCGAATCGGGAGTGTCGGATCCATCTGATACACTCACGCTTCTAACAGAAGGTATTCATTTTCTCACTTTTATTCTCTTTTTCTACTATAATAACCACAAATGTATTTTTATTATGTTACCGTCAAAGTGTATAATTAAGTTGTTGTTGTCGGCCATTAAGGCAGAAGGGATACGATTGTTCTTGTTTTCCAATGGCGCCATCTATCTAGAATGAGACCTCTGCCACACCCATACGTCACACCTGTTTACAGGGTGGACTTACATCCATTCATTCATCCACAGATCGTAATTTCGACCTGAACCAGCGAACGATCAATCTCCAATTCAGTACCCCCAAAGGTATAATTTGTTATGGAAACATGGCTGACTTTGTAACCCGACAGATTTAATGTGCACCCGTCACCATTTACTGCCCAGGGAGTCTTCGGCCGGCTGGATTGAAACTCCCGTTCCCACGAACGGGAGTCCAGCGCCCTGGCAACCAGGCTATCCCAGTCCGTATAGTTTAGTTATTTCATAGTATTTCATGAAATATCCAGACAAGTCAGTTAAAATACACTGTCAGAATTTTCTATCTAAAATTATGGTAAAATAACCGGAAGTAGTATGTCTATCCGATTTACCGTAAAATTTACGGAAAAAATATTTTTTTCCTTTGCGATTTTGAAACCATTTATAACTAAAATGGTTTTAAGACCATGAATTCAAAACTTATGGGATTTTTAACCACTTACAACTAGAATGGCTTCAAACATGGCTAGGATTTTCGTTGGGTAATGAGCATTAGAGAGTGCAGGACACTGGAAATTCTTCATGGGCATGAAGGATTCTTTTGAGTTGAAAGGAATGGAGGAAATATTGTTGTATCAACGCTGGAACTCGAACCCCAGTTCTATCGATCATGAGACTCTCCGATTAGCCTTCTCGGCTATAATATGCATCCATTTACAAGGCACTAAGTGGCTTCATGAGGTGGGCTTAGTTGCTACGATAAAATTCTGGTTGTTTGACCAATAATATGTGAAAGCAGTAAATAAACGATTTTTTTTCACAGTTAGCAGTTTGATTACCTAATTATTTATGGTGATTTGTCTGTTTTTTTTAATATGGTGAAATAACAAGAAAATAAATTGTTATTTAACCATCTTTTCCGAGAAATATCTAACAGTATATACAAAATTATTGAATTCTTCAATTTAACTAGCTTTTCTATGAAATAACTAATGATAGACCATTAAAGTGAAAACTAAACAATTTCAAAATTATTTTATAAATTAATTGATCATAAATAGCTGAAATATCTCGAAAAATGCATTTTATCTCTATTGCGGATGATTAATTGATAAATAATAAGGAAAAACAGATGATATAATGTTTTATTGCTCCTATCAATAATTACGTCAAAAAGCAACCGAATTAGTGTACACACATCATTACAAAGCATCTATAAGCGATTCAGATAACTAAAATGCAGCTAGAAACCGGTTCTAAGAAATTTGCGAGTGCCGTATTCCATTCTCTAACGATCAAGTAATCGTTATTCTACAGAATACCTATTGTTATTTCATGAAATAACCTATTTATTCTATGAAATAACGGATGCACTTTAGCGGTAACAAATAGATTCATTACATTGTATGACAAAGTGTTCATAACCACGAAATTCTTTGCATGGACATTTCAAACACTTTTGCTTTTCACTATAAATTGAGATGTCATTTTTCAGTATGCACTGAGAATAAGGTAGCATTTACCGTGGCTCTATGAAAACATCAATAAGTTCTGTAATGATTTTGATAAAGCTTTAGTATTGATTTGTGTAAAATTAACAATAAAATATGGTTTTATAATGTGCGATAAAAATCTAGATTGAATTGGTCTTTTGTTTAGATAAAAAAAAAAACAAGTTTGAAACAAAACATTATACATTTGACTTGAATGAATTAAAAGTTGAAAAGTTACTTGTTTAAAGGTCCGCGTTTTATTGTTATTATTCAAGCAAATTTCATTCATTTGTGTAAAAGGTTTGGTACTTATTTTGGCTACAATTATTGATTATCTATAGCATTTTTTTTCCCTATTTTTTAAACTTTGATCATTTAAGAGGATGATTATATAATTTATCCCATATATGTTCATTATTGAACTAATCCATATAAGGAGTGTTCAAAAAAAATATCATTAAATAGCTTTTTATCCATTATCTCTTATTTTATTTAATTTTTTTTAAGTAATTACTAAAAACTTTATACCGTGATACGTTTTTCTTCTTTTATTTTTGGCATACTACACAGAGTGTCAAATACCCTTAAGAACTACTTTGTTTATAGCTTAAAAGACAGTGTAGAAAAAACAAATAAATAAATTGAATGTTTTTTTTTTCCTTCTAGAGAACATTAAACCTTTGCTTCGTAATTTATGCAATCTAGTGATGACATTCACCGCAGATTGCGATGGTTGTCGTAAGTGGAAAGAGAAAAGGCAGGAAATACTTATAAATTGCTTACGTCATTTTGTCTAGCGAATTCCTTTCCAGGGAGAACTTGATTACAGTCACGTTAAAGGGTTACTGGGGAACACTGAAATCAACATTTGACGTTCATAATAACATCATTTTAAGATGTGGTAAACCAAGCAGTGACTGCGAAAGTAAATATATATATATAAGAATTCGATTAGCTGTAAATTCAGTTTCACAAATATCGAAGGAAAAATTACAATGTTAAAAAGTGCATTTATAAAATGTGAGTGGGCTAAAGTCCCCTCTACCCCCACCGGTTTCGCAGTCCCTGAAACCAAGTACAAATGATTGTATATATTTAAAAAAAGGAAATTGGAATATCTATTAAATTAATTTGTAATGGAATTAATTTTCTATCTCGAGGTGGCGTGTCCTATGAAAAATGTCTTAAACCTCCATTGAATCATCCAATCACGGCCATGAAAATAAACTGCAACCGTTTTGTTTTAGCCCAGATTTTTAAAAAAAAAAAAATATCCTTAGAATCGGAAATTATTTATTATTTCTACACTGTAAGCTATAAGTTAAGTTGTAATTAAGGGCATTTGACAATCTGTGCAGTAAGCCAAAAATAAAATTTTTTAAAAAATAGGAAAAAGGTATCAAGATATAAAGCTTTTGGTTATTATTTTTTTTAAAAAATATTGAATAAAATAAAAGATAACGGATTAAAAGTTATAAAACAATGACATTTTGTTGCACAATCTTTAATATAGATTGGTTCAATGAATGAACAAAAATGCGATAAATTATATAATTATCCTCTTAAATGATCAAAGTTTGTAAAAATGGAAGGAAAAAAAATGCTATGTATATTAATCAAGAATACTAGTCAAAATAAGTACCAAATTTTCTACACATATGAATGAACTTAATTTTAACTAGTTTATTTAAGAACTTAATTTTAACTTTAACTAATTTTTGTATTTAATAATTTCTGAAACAGAAAAAATATGTATTTTTAGAAATAAGGTTATGTAAAGAGGATGTATTCTAAATAACAGCGCAATTTTTAAACGAGTTTAAATACGATAGACATCTTTATCAGCATCAATATTATTTATTATATTAAAATAATTATTTATTTTGCCAAAATAGGGGATATATTGCCAAAAAAGACATCCCTGATTTTGTATGTGTTTTTGCATTTCATTGACCTGACCTTGTACTAATATCTTTCTTTCAGGCAAGGCACTAACGCCATCTATCGTTAGCCATCATGGTGACACGCCATATTTTCTAAAACTACACTTCATAGTACCAGTAGCGGCATCTATCGTCATTATAGTTATAGTAATTGTAGTAGCCTGGGTTTGGGTAAAGAAAGCTCAATTTAGAGATGAAAGAGAAGCAGGTATTTTACAAATACTTAATTTATTAAAATATTAAAAAGAAATTAATTTTTTTAAAAAATTAAGATGGAGTGTTTATTTTATACCTATGAATTATTTTTGTTATACAACTTAAGGAATTTTTATTATAATAATTATAAGTTTTAATTTAATCGCAAAGCGCACATTTTGCTGCAAAATATTTAAAAATTTTGATCAAAACGAAATGTAAAAAATATTTATGAAATTTACGACGCTTTTATTTTGTGTGGAAAAAAAATTTTACATTAAAAATTTCTTAAATATTTTATTTTCTCTACAATAACATTTTCTTTACTATTTTTTTAATATCTTTCAAATTTTATAAAAAAAAAAATTTTAAAAATAAGTCTTTTTGGTGTTTTTTTTTGTTGACAACGTTTTAAATAATTTTTTTTAACGAAATTTTGCCTTATAGCATGGCATGGTATACTTTTTTAAAATACATATTTTCTAATTTTTAGAAATATATTAATTTTTTAAAAAATATTTTATAAAAAAAAAATTTTTTCATTAGTTTTGAGAAGTATTCATCTTATTTGTAAATTTATCTTTAATTATTTTAATGAAATCAAAGAAAAAGAGTATCTATTGCTAAGAGTAATCTTTTAGAATAAGAATTTCATATTGAAGTATTGTTTGTAAAATTATTTTTGTTTTTTTTTCTGTTGCACTTTATGTGTGTATTAGTTTGAAAAATTTCAGTCATGTAATCCTTCACACTCAAGTAAAACTTTCAATCAAGTAATACCTTTGGGACATTGTTTAGTTTCATTGCATTTTTCCAATAATTTCTAACAAAGTTTTAATTTTTAAAAATAAAAATAAAAAGATCTCACATAGACTTGTATCGATTTTGATTTTCTACAATACAGATAGATATGGTATAAATAATTTTTATACCAACCAACCAATTATTTTGTGTCAATGTTACCTCTAAACTGTATAATCTGCAAACTAACTGTATAATTTGCATATTACCTACAAGGCACTTGTTAAAGCGGAAATCTTTGTTAAAACATTAGCAACATTTTCTTATGCTGTAATTGATACACACTGGGGGTTCCGTGTTCGGCTGACCACCTGACCGGGACATCTGCTCCTGCACCCCAGAGCCCAAGGTCAAGAAAACTGAGATGGGCCCAGTAGGGCTTGGCCCTCTACAGGCTGTCCCGCCACTGAGTTTAGTTTAAATTGATATAATGTTAATTATTTATTTTCTGCTCTCTAAAAAATCAAGTTACTTCAATTGTTGATAGAGAGTAGTAATGGTATAATGTTCGCCTTCTAATGAGGCAACCAAGATTCGAATCCCAGCAATGACTGGTCAATAGGAATTTCACATCCGGCTTGCATCGACCACAATGCTCACGTAAAATATCCTCAGTGGTAGACGGATCACGGGTTAGAGTCCCCTTGCTGTCAGGCTAACCATAAGAGGTTTTCGTGACTTTCCTCTCCGTGTGACGCAAATGCGAGTTAGTTCCATCATAATGTCCTCCACGAATGCAAATTTCACTCTATACTTGATACAGGAGTTCCCCTATCTTCTGGATTGGGCTCAAAATTACAAGGCTACGGAGTTTAACATTAGTCGTAAACCCCAAAAAAAATTGGGTTGGCTGTTCAAAGACAGCTATAAAATATAAAAAATTGTTGATAGAATCAGTTATCAATCGCATTTAAAAGCTATAATACAAAGAATTAAACGGTTTGAAATGATATTACAGTTAAAGAAATTAACATAATGTCCTCCTGGGTAATTTATTTGTTTTTCATAATTTGAAGAATCAAGTCAATAAATACTATCAAACAATCACCATATTAATAGATAGAATGAAAGAAACAAATTTATGAAATTTGTTCATAGGGAAAGTTTTAATGTATATATTACCAAGATAAATTAGGGAAAGCTCTTGATTCTGCACTTTAATGGTTTAACCTAATCAGTCTGTTAGTAATATGCATATTATGACTTTCGAGCTTTAGTGGTCGCGTACATATTTGACTTGATCTCGAATTTAATCTGTGATATTGGTTATTGAATATTTATTTAGGAATTTTTCACCTGGATCTCATTAACTTCTTTATATTATTTACTGTAAATATAGATGAAAGCATGATTATCAGAAGTAATTAAAAATACTTTTCAATGTATCAGAAAAATAAAAAGAAATTCATGAATCATATTCATGAATAAATTTACCTAAGTTAAGAAAGAAAATTAGCAAGTATTATGCAGAATTTTAGCAGAGTAAAGAATTTTCCTTTTTATGACTTACATTGTTATATAGGTGTTATATATTGTTATTATTATTGCATAGTTATTCTTAATCTATATACACTGTTATTTATTACATATTGTTATATTATTGAGTTTGTATATTGGTTTCTTGTCTCTATCTCTTCAAAGAATAGTGTCAGTGACGGGTGAGCGAATTAATTTACATGCACTGAAAAATGAGAAATTTCGTGTAATATATATATATATATATATATATATATATATATATATATATATATATATATATATATATATANATATATATATATAATAAATAAATAAATACAAGAAAACACTAAGAAAGTTAAGAAAAACAATAAGTTTCATTTATTGCGCTTAAGCTGCAAGTAAACATCACTCATTAGATAAGTTCAAAATGAAGAATAAAACAAAGAAAAATTATAGACATATGAAAAAAAGGGGGGTGGGAAATAATAAGTAAAAAAAATAGCAAACAACATTTTATTAAAAAAAAAATGAAATGTTAATTAAAAAACCGGATAAAGAGACGGAAAAAAAAAATAATAATCTTTTCTTCAGCCCACACGATTATATCCGCAAAGCAAAGTGCTTTCTGATATTGTATCAATAAAGCCAAAGCAAAATATATTAATACAATAGTGTGAGGAGCACTCAAAAAAATTTTTTATAAAATAACAACAAATAAAAAAGATCATAAAAAGTAAAAATAAGTATATATATATATATATATAAAATGTTCACTTAGGTTCATAATGACGTTTTAGCTGACGTCACACTTGCGATAAGATCATTTTGCATTTTCCATTAAAATTTCGTTGTTGTTGATAATATACGTCGCACTAGAGCTGCACAATGGGCTATTGGTGACGATCTGGGAAACATCCCGGAGGATGATCCGAAGACATGCCATCACAATTTTGATCCTCTGCGGAGGGGATGGCACCCCCGCTTCGGTAGCCCGACGACCTGCGCTTAAAATTTCGTGACTCAGATTTTAGCTGATCATACAAGAAGTTGCGAAAAGAAACCTTATAATTACCTAGAGTTAAGATTATTTTCAACTTGATACTAACTTTATGAAAGGATGCTTTGAAACCTTAAGTCAACCTCGATTTAAGTTTTTTATATAAAAGGTTGTTTTTTTGACTTTGAGTTTGATGAGTTGATTTTAACTTTGAGTTTGTTTAAGTTGAGTTTTTTAACTTTGGATTTGTTTCTTTTGTAGCTCGGGTGTCTTTGTACGCCGAAGCCTACTATACTTTGCCCCACAAGACTGCCTATTTCCCTCCTCAAAATGCCGGTGGATCAGGTGTAACGGTTGCTGGAGGTCCAGTTGTACCATCAGACGATGCTTATGACATACCGTGGGACATTCCTGTAGCAGCCAGGCCCAAGCAATAGAGGTATATTTAACTATTCCATAACAATTCTGTTAATGATTATACTTGTATTTTTCGAAATTTAACATTGTCCTAAAAAGTGACGTCAAAACAATAAATGCATTGTTTTGTTTTTTTTTCTTCTTTGCCATCACGTGTGTAAATGAAATGAGCTTTCACAAATTTTGAATACCGTTCTCCTAAATGAACATCATTATAGGAGATACCATAATAACCCCTTCACTATTAATCCTATTCACTTTAAACATGAAGTGACCATTTCTATAACTAGTGTATAGTTTGTCTAAAATAAGAACTTCTCCAGACATTCGTCTGGAGCTGTGGCGGTAACTATGGTAACGAGGAATGACTTTTTTAAATAGGGGTGCAGGGTCACTGTTTTAGAGTGGTTTCTGCTCGGGTCAGCGAGAGACAGGAATATCTTTCTTCGGTCTATTGTGTTAGTCCGAAATTGAAGCTACCCTCCCTAAAATGCACCATTCTTGTTTCCATAGTACCAGACGGCCTAAGACTTTGTGACGGGAGGAGTTCTTAGCTTAGACAAACTATATTATGAATTTCTATAATCTATGTTTAGATTGCCGTTCGAATAAAAAGGAAAATGGCGATATTATACCGTCTTTGATATCAAATTTTTGAATAAGAATTTTCAAATTAATAGATTTCTTGTTTTCTGGATGGATAACTTTACTTTCGACAGTCATTTCAAACTATTATTTTATTTTCGTTTTATAGTTTAAATTTTTTCCGTTATAATCTTTCATTAATGATTCTTTTGAGTACTTCTCTAACGAATACTTCATTATAATTTTTACTACTTGTCATCTTGTTTTTAATGGGGAACCATGGAGGTTTAGGGGACAGAGTACTCCCCGCTCAATCCCAGGTCCAGGTTTCGTGCATGATAAATAATAATTTATTTTGTGAAATAAAATATTATTTTTCATGCACGAATCTTTTTTGCGACTCAATGAGTGTAATTTAAGCATATTTCCATGATAATAATACCACGTTTTATAAAATTTCTAAGTTTCCATAAAACGGGTCAATCTTATGTTTAGTAATTTATATGTTAAGTTCACAATATTATAGTATTGACATGAATGGTTTCAAATGAAAATCGAAAATTGGCAATCAATTTAAAAGATACAAACATAGTTTTTTCCTCATCATTCATCTTTTACATTTTTTCTTTGGTGTCTGATTTTCTGCAAACATAATTATGTTATTTTTCTTTTATAGGTATTTAAGTGCAATCATCGAACAAAACGAAAAAAAAAACTTATTATACTACTTATGAAAATGCATTTTCTACTATTTTGTAAGGAATTATTAGTGAGTGAAGTGTTCGTGCATTTTGGTGTCATTATTTTTAGCGTCAATTTTTCCCATTTGTGCATTTAAAGAAGAAGAAGAAGAGTTGTACATATTTGTAAATGTTTCATTTCATTCATGTGATTGTCTCTACTTACTGCATTCATTTTTCTTTTGTAAGAAATGCTTCTTCTCAAATAAATGTTTGTATTCGTATTATAAGCTTCTTTGTAACCATTTTTTTCCCACGGATTATGACTGGGCAATATTTTCGATATCTGAGACGGAAAATTAACCCTCTATAAAAAAAACAAGCCGTTAAAAAGGGGCTGCGAGTTTTTTTAAGTGAAAAACAATAGTTATTTTTATATGCAGGATTTGTCAAGAAATACCTGAAAAATTACAAAAAAAATAATGAGTTGCAATGTTTTGAAGCATAAAATCTTTTATTTTTTTTTGTCACTTAACATATCTGCAAGAACAGAAAAAATAAAATTGTTTAGTAATTTATTTCAAACTTAATGATCCCAACAATATGAACATGAGACGAAATGTTTTTCTAGACGCCCTATCTACAACTATCTTTAAATGTTCTGGTACCGCAGTGGACACGGTTCCCAGTAGAACACCGAACCCAAGCATCTCTGGTTGCGGTGAGTGCGCGGGTTGGGGACCACTTTCATCACCCTGCGTAGGGACCGAGAGTGAGTGGTATCGGTCCTCGTTAAACTGTTCAACCGTAAAGTGCTACTGTGGCGTCGCTGCTGCGTCGATCTTCACAGTATAAATGCTGTGACGTGGATTTGATATTTGCTCTTCGCGTATTATTTTTCAAGCAGCTGTAAATAAATGTTTTCTTTGGATATTTACATGAGTCTTATTTCCTGAACCCAGGATATTTCCAGAATTTGTGTCTAGATGAAACTACACTACCAAGGCAGGGGAGCCATCCCCCTCTGCAGAGGATCAAAATTGCAATGGGTATGTCTTCGGATCATCCTCAGGGATGTTTCCCAGACAGTCACCAATAGCCCTACCAATACTAATAAAGTACCTACCTACCGTATCTACAAAGGTGCTTGTACAATGTTTTAAATTCACTGATGCCCAACTTAAATGCATACAATAGAATCTTCGCAATAATGAATACAAAAATCAAATAAAAACTGAAATATGAGAAACGAAGCTTCAAGCTGCAATAAATGTTTCTAAATCATCAAGCTGCAATCAATGTTTCTAAAACATCAAGCTGCAATAAATGTTTCTAATAACACTAAATCATCAAAACCTCTTATTCAAATGACAGTAAGCTTCAAACTAACGAGAAGAGACAGCATATCCTTCAACCTTGAATATGCAGAACAGTTTTCGATGTTAAACAGAACAGCTGAGAAAATCCAATTCAATCTTGACTTGCAGATATGAAAGGAGGCGCAGTGAGGAGTTAATACATGGCGTTATTAATGCGATATTAGTAATAGTAATTAATATTAATGCAATAATAACAAAGTGCATTGCATTGATTCTTTATTGATGCACCATCAGAAAGCAATAATTTTTGCGAAAATAAATGCGTGAGTTGAAAGAGGTTATATCTTATATACGAAACTAGCCTGGCTCACTTTGAAAAATTATCTTACGTAACATATAAACTTTAAAGTTAACAAAGCTGTATGTTTAAATATTCTAATTTTTCAAGCCCTCCTACAACGTTTTAATTAGCTTCAAGCGATTAAAGTAGCCAAAATTTTTCACCGTCAAACTATTGCCCACGATTTTGCTCATGCGGTAGTACTTCGGTTAAAAAATTTTCTATTTTCAAAAGAGATGACCCTGACAAAGTTCTTCATGTATTGAATTTTATAAAATAATTTAAAATCTATACGGAAGTCACTAAATCGTCCAAGCCAATCGTCCAATCGTCGTTAGACATGTTTATCTTTAATCAAAGTATGAAAATAGAATTATACAAAAATTAAGAACAAAATTTAATTTAAAAACAGTAAATCAAAATGGAAAAGCTCTAAAAAGCAGATACAACCAAAATTGTCTTAATTAAACTATATAAATAAAAATGGGAGAATACAAGCAAAATGTCTAAATCTGAAGATACGCATGTTAACATGCATGCCTTTTTCATAGATTGTTCTTATATATTGGATAATATTTTGGCCAGGTTTGGTTTTATTTGCTATGTAATTTTTTTTTTATTTGATAAAAAAGACCCTCTAATTTTTCAACCCCTGTGCAGTTTAACAACTTCGATATATCATTCTTTGGGGAAAAGATCTAACACATCTTGGGTATCTTATAAATGCACAGTTTCAACTGCAGATGGCAGCACCACTGAAATATAAAAGGGCTCTATGAATTCCTGGTTATACTAGACATGAAACTTCATAAACTTTAATACTGGGCACGAAATCTCTACCTTAATAAATCACACTGAAAACAGTTATATTACTTCATTTAGTTTCGAGCAGTTAAAAAATTTTAATTAATCCGAGCATTTCTGCAAAATGTGCACGCATTCTTCCCTCTATTACTATCGGGAAAAAAATACTGTGGTAACAACTGAATCGTTATAATTTTTGTTATTTTTATGATAATGATATTTAGATCTTCTTCACCTTATTCAAGATAAATTTTGTTTAATAAGAATGCTCCTATAGTTCACAGTGCTAGCGTAAATTATCCTCAGTGGTAGACAGATCGTGAATTAGAATCCCTTTGCGTGCACATAAATACCATAAATTAACCATTATTGGGTTAACCATAAATTTTTTTCATGGTTTTTCAACTCAGTGTAACGTAAAAGCTAGTTAGTTCCATCAAAAAGACCTCCACTCGGGGCAGCATGACCCAGGATTTACCTCGTCTTCTGGGTTGGGTTCAAAATTGCAGCACATTGACAGTTGTAAAACCCGAAAATGGGTGGGGGAAAGAGGGCTTAAATGAGCAACAATCAGAAATTTGGTCGTACAAATCTGTTTTTATTGTAGAGATAGGTGATAGTCTACTAAATTTTNCAAGCGATTAAAGTAGCCAAAATTTTTCACCGTCAAACTATTGCCCACGATTTTGCTCATGCGGTAGTACTTCGGTTAAAAAATTTTCTATTTTCAAAAGAGATGACTTTGACAAAGTCAAAGTTCTTCATGTATTGAATTTTATAAAATAATTTAAAATCTATACGGAAGTCACTAAATCGTCCAAGCCACCTTATTAGACATGTTTATCTCTAATCAAAGTATGAAAATAGAATTAAACAAAAATTAACAACAAAATTTAATTTAAAAATAGTAAATCAAAATGGAAAAGCTCTAAAAAGCAGATACAGCCAAAATTGTCTTAATTAAACTATATAAATAAAAATGGGAGAATTGAAATACAAGCAAAATGTCTAAATCTAAAGATATGCATGTTAACATGCATGTGTTTTTCATAGATTGATCTTATATATTGGATGATATTTTGGCCAGGTTTGGTTTTATTTTCTATGTAAATTTTTTTTATTTGATAAAAAAGACCCTCTAATTTTTCACCCCCTGTGCAGTCTAACTACTTCGATATATCATTCTTTGGGTAAAAGATCCTTGGGTATCTTATAAATGCATAGTTTCAACTGCAGATGGCAGCACCACTAAAATATAAAAGAGCTCTATGAATTCCTGGTTTACTTAATGTAATACTAAACATGAAATTCTTCATAAACTTAAAAAATGGGGACGAAATTACGAACTCTACCGTGACAAATCACATTGAAAACAGTTATATTACTTCATTTAATTTCGAGTAGCTAAAAAATTTTAATCAATCTGATGCCTTTTTGCAAAATGTGCACGCATGCTTCCGCTCTATTGCTATCGGGGGAAAAAAAAGTATGGTAACAACTGAATCGTTATAATTTTGTTATTTTTATGATAGTGATATTTAGGTCTTCTTCATCTTATTCAAGATAAATTTTGCATAATAAGAATGCTCCTATAGTTCAATGCTAGCGTAAATTATCCTCAGTGGTACACGGATCGTGGATTAGAATCCCTTTGCAATCGGGCTAACCATATTTTTTTCGTGGTTTTCCTCTCACTGTAACGCAAAAGCTGGTTAGTTCCATCAGAAAGACCTCCACTCAGTGCAGAATGACCCAGTAGTTACCTCGTCTTCTGGGTTGAGTTAAAATTGAGCTGCTACATACATTGACAGTCGTAAAACCCGAAAATGGGGGGGGAGGCTTAAATGAACAACAATCAGAAATTTGGTCATACAAACCTGTTTTCATAGTAGAGATAGGTGATAGTCTACTAAATTTTTATTGTATACATTTATATAAATAAATATTTTCTAAAATAGTCGAAGAAAAAAAAATCGCAGCGTTGTCATAGACATGGCTGATTTATTTCTATACGATACGACTTCTATAGATATAAGATTTTTTTTTCTTTTTTTAAATTCAATTTCGCAGGAACTATACCTCTGATTCCGTTCGTATTTTGCAATTTAAAATTACTTTCTTGTAATAAATGTGTGAATTTTTAATTCATTTTTCTTTTGCCACTATCAAAAAAAATAATAAAAACTAATAAACAACTATTTAAAATTATTTTTTGCATGGAAATTATCTTTGAATAAACAAATTTTATAATTGTGCGCAAAAGTTTTTCTCATTCGCTAAAAAAAAAATAATAAAAAAATTTCTAGCGACTAGGCGAAATGCGCAATAACCCAATATTTTAAGGGTCAGAAATCCAAATCCGTCAAAAAAATGTATGTTTATTAAGTGAAAGTACGATTTTGTGTCTGATTTGAAATATCGTCTTAACTTATAAATTAACATAACAGAGTGCGCATGTATGAGACAGAGTGAGCGCATTACGACAATTTTTACCCACTTAATGAAACCACGTGACTGTTGAGTGAAGTGACAGCATTTTCCCAGTCTGTGAAATAAATTCCAGGTTGAAATTGTAAAGCCGAAAATCTTTAAATATGGTGATTTATTCCTCAACCTTTGCTTGCAGTGAAAAAACTTTTAAAGGACCTAATATATTTCCTTGGTAAGTTGATTCCTCACTTTTTGGAACTACAATTGATTTATTTATTCTTCTTTTCCTTAAGACATCATATAAATCCCGATTATTCCATTTTTTTTAATTCCATAATCTGAATTTTTGTTTTTAAATCTATTTTACTTGTAAATATAAACGAATAAGAACACAACT